TTCTCCATCATTCACTCCGTGGATATGCTGCCATTTTTTTTCTGTACATACGAGCCAGTGAAGCTAGCATGAAGTTTACGCTATCTTTTCTAGTTTCTAGGCATGGATCGGCGGATGCATATTTTCTGGAGATTACTTTCGCCGACAGAAAATAGCCCAGGATGACTAAAAACAAGGCTATAGCGCTTCATGACACTGTTAATATTCAGGCCATTTCAAACGACACTCTTCGGCGCTTTGCCTTTGACGGTTTGTCTACCTCAAGCATTCCTGAGTAATTGCGTGCCTCCTTGACTAACATTATTATTAGAAGTACACTTTCATAAAAATGGATGCACTAAAACATTTACTCGTAAGTTGAGTGAAATGCGTATTGCATATTCCTTATTCTCACCTGATGCCGTCGTCTTGCGAAGGAAAAGTACAAGCCCACCAGGTAGCCAACCACTGTCAACACACCGAACACAACGCAGTCGTAGATATCCAGGTCTTTTGTCGGGTGCATCCTCGCTGTAGTGGCTGGGAAGAGATTGTGTGGCTGCTAGTTGTCTGCGGAAGTGACGTGTTCGCCGACATAGACACCATGATTGCAGCTGCTCTTGACCGAACAGCTTTCACAGCTGTAGTTTCTGGTGTCAACGAACTACCCTTTGATACTGGCATACACAGCCTCCACCGCCACTGCAGGCACCTTTTGCATATATTTAACTTTCTGGTTTATCGTTTCGGCACTTTTGGAAGCCGACGTCACGTGATGTCTTTTCCGGCTCTTGATCATGGGTGTCTCTAACACTGTAATGTTCACTGAGTTACGTTGTCTGCGCAATGTTTGACACCTTAAAGAAGCCCATTACACTTGTAAACCATCACTGACATTTATTATCATATTTTGCAGTACCGTGATAAAGCTCACATAAAATTTATTTCATCAATATACTCTATTATGTAATCATATTTATACCAGGTACAAATGAAATGATATTACACTCTTTTCTTGCTGCAAACGTGAACTACATAGCTAAAACAATAAATAAATCTCGCATAAGAAGCGCCAAAGCCACGATACAATTATGAGGCATGCCTTAGTGACGGGCTCAGGAATTATCGGCCACCTGGCGTTCTTTCACGCACACTGAGGTTGCGCAGACTACACGAGTTTGTACGACGTTGCTTCCGCCGAAATGTGACGACCACGGTTGGAATCGAACCTGCGACATTCGAGTCAGCACCCGAGTACCGGAACCATTGATCCACCATGGTAGCCTTCCATGGCTAGAAAGCTAGAAAACTTGGAGGACGCCTGGACTTTTCCGTCGTGAGTAGAACGCGATTGCATTGTCGAGCATGTGCGCATTGGCTTCAACCATGTCGCTGCCCAGAACATTTGGGCACGTGAATTGGCCGTTTAAGAACTATCCTAGAATGTCGAGTGTAAGTTATGTCACAAAGTGCCCACTATGCCGTAACTCTTCCTTTCGGGTGATTCCACGCCAAACTTCCCAGCCATTTCGGCAGCTATCTCACATGTATTCGAAAAAAAATGTGCTGATTTGCTGCATTCAAAACAGTGAAACAGTAGAATATTTCCGAGAAAAAAAATTTTGGTCACGTGGCTGGCTGCCTTCTGGACTTCCTGGAATGTCGCTTGGGTGTTGTTTGTAGAACAATTTATTTTAAAAGTACCGCTTCTCTCTACACAAAATTAGGTCTACATGTTAAGTAAATGTGCCTGTGTAAGGTGTTTGAAGATGTTGCAATACTGTACCTTGTATGAATATCTGAGTAGCGAATACTTAATCCACAGAAGGTAATTTAGCAAAACTGTCAATTTTGTCTACATTATGACTTCATTTGTACCTTGTGCTGGTTCAAATAAAAAACAGCTTTATACGTAAATCAAAAGCGAATAAGCAGTCCTTTTTATGTGGGAAATTTTACTATTACATTTGTTCTAAGAAAGAAAATAATTTTAAAAATTTCTTTTGGCGCCTATCTTCCCATTTGGTCATACGACAGCTGCCGCCTTCAAATTTCCTATAGCCGTCAATGGAACAGTTCAAAAATTCTTTTCTTCGTTAAAAAAATGTGATTATAAGGTTTGCCATATGAAAATAAATGCTTAGTTGCTTTCAATCTCAGTAAAACGGTGATTTTTAATTCGGACACTACATGGTGAAAAGTGCGTCTCAATATGGACAAAAAATGGCAATTTCGAGTAATTTGTGATTTTTTTCTCGTAAAGTTTAGCAGCTTAAGAAGTCCAAAACATTTTTCTCAAAATACACATTTTGTGGAGTAAGTATTTTTTATTCAGATATTCACACCACGTTCAGTATTGCAATAGAAATGTGCAAAATAACACATTTTGACTAAACTATTGGAGGCATATGTGCCGGTAAAATTGCACTAATATTAGTAAGCTTCGAACATTTAACACAAGCACCTTTACTTAACATCTAGACCAAATTTGGGATAGAAAGAAGGACTGGTACTTTTCAAATAAGCTTTTCCACAAAGAACACCCAAACGGCATTACGAGAAGTTCATAAAGCAACCACGTGACGAAATGTTTTTTTTTTCTCGAAGAAAATATTTGACTGTTTCGCTGTTTTCAACACAGTGAATCAGTCCAGTTTTTTTTTCATATACATTTGAGATGGTCGCCAAAATGGCCGGGTCGTTTGGCATGGAATGACACTTTTTCAATTTGACGAAACACCCACTACACAGTAAGTATCATCAGGTGTCACGCACAACTGTGCAGCTTTGTACTTTGTCACGGGTGTGCAGCTTTGAACGAACCCATGGTTGTCTTTTGGTGCATATGAAAAGTAGCGAGAACAAAATCTACATGTAGCGAAAGTAGCCACGCCACTCAATTATATCGCCGGTTTGCTTGCCAAATTAAACAGATGCGGTAATACAAGTATATTTTTCATCATTGAATATGAATAGGTTAATTATTTATATTTCAAGTAAGGAATATCCAGACATTAGGAATGCGGTTTCTTAGTGTGCCTTTGTCTTAAACACACAAGTAAGTCACCAATAAATGAATATATTACAATAAATTGGGTCCACCTAGTCTAGAGTGGTTTTGAACACTACAACCAACAAAAGTAAGCGCTGCAAAAGTTGAAGCTGTTTTGGCTGGAAGCCATATAACAAATTTGAATAGTCCAGCTTTCTATGGGGCCCCGCCGCGGTGGTCTAGTGGCTAAAGTACTCGGCTGCTGACCCGCAGGTCGCGGGATCAAATCCCGGCTGCGGTGGCTGCATTTCCTATGGAGGCGGAAATGTTGTAGGCCCATGTGCTCAGATTTGGGTGCACGTTAAAGAACCCCAGGTGGTCGAAGTTTCCGGAGCCCTCCACTACGGCGTCTCTCATAATCAAATGGTGGTTTTGGGACGCTAAACCCCACATATCAATCAATCAATGCATTACACAAGCATACGCTATGCTTCACCCTCTCCCCTTCATCTCTCATCTCCTCACCCTCTCATCACTCACGTTCACCCTTAAGGGGGTGGTGCCACCATTTTTGTGGCATTCTACCCGCACCAAGATGAATTTATTCTCGCTAATTGAAATAATGTTGCATTTTTTATGCGGAAAATTTTCGGTTTTCTGTGAGGCGAATGAGGCTGTGACGTAGCAGTGTAGCTTGGTCTCGTGGCCACACGAAGCCGTGATGTACGTCGTGCTTATTTTTGTCTGCTCTCGCTGGCATTCTCTCAAACACGTGCAAGGAGGATTAAAGAAAAATTGTACACGTGCCGCACACACACCTGCAAAACAAATGCAGCCGCGATGCCTTGCCCGTACACACGTTGCGGAGGCCACCGCAAGTCACTCACCTCACTGCAATAGGCGTACGCATGGTAGGGCGTTAAGGGGGCGCCCACTCCCATAGCCACCCATGAGGGGCGGTGTGCAGACACAGCCCCGCACATTAACTTAAGAGAAAGGGGGCGCGAAGTCAGACCTATACACGGAACCAGCCGCGGTGGTCTACTGGCTAAGGTACTCGGCAGCTTTCCCGCAGGTCGCGGGATTGAATCCCGGCTGGGGCGGCTGCGTTTCCGATAGAGGCAGAAATGATGTAGGCCAGTGTGCTCAGATTTGGTTGCACGTTAAAGAACCTCATGTAGGCCAATTTTACGGAGCCCTCCACTATGGCGTCTCTCGTAATCATATGGGGGTTTTGGGATGTTAAACCCCACATATCAATCAATCTAGACCTGTAAATTGACGAAATAGGGAAAGGGTGCGCTGCGATGAACCTTTCTTCACCCTGAAGGGGAAACCTGCGCAAGCCTACTCTCACTACAGATCGAGTGCGACGTCACAGGAACTTTCGTTCCCCGTCTTACAGGGATAGGATAGTTCTGGACGCGCTTGCGGTGGGCTTTGGTTGGGAGAATGTGGAAGAGGAAAGGAGAAAGGACAGGAATAATAAGCATTTATTTAAAGTTTGGAGTTGAATTAAAATATACTCTAAACGCTTGCTGTGGCCGAGCGTTCGTGACGAATGTCGTGAGGAATGTACTAGTATACAAAGAAAACGGACAAAAGGCTTTGTTTAGCCACGAAATTTATTGGCACAACCCGTTTAATTCATTTTTTTTCCGCTCCTTCACGCTACTATACAGTAAATAACTGTACCACGACCTCACTTCACTTTGCACAGCTGGAAAATGTCTTCTCCGTTTCCCGGATATTGCGGTACCGGATACTTCAACATGTTTCCTGTTAAAACTTAACTACAGGTTACTGATGGTGCTGAGAAAAGCACTGAACCAACATGACGTTTATAAAATCTGGCGTTTAAATTTTGTATTTTCAGCAACAGAAAGCACAGTAAGAATTTAGCGTTGCACAAAACGGTGTTATAATGTTGGCTTGTCAATGATGTTCGTATTCTTTTTTTATAGAAAAATGGAGGTTCACGAGATTCAGCTAAGCTATTTTCTTTTCTTGTTTTCTTTCTACTACTCACGCTCAGTACGAAGTAGACAAGGCACGCCGTGATCCCGACCTTGTTGTCGAAACGAAGACGAAGGTACTATAGAAAAAAAGCAATGTGAAGGAAACATGAAATAATGGTACCATCGCTGCTTTTCTTGCCATGATTGGTTTCTAAGAGATATGCCATTACACTAATAAATTTCTTATTAAACAATGAACACAATTATACAAAACCAGTTTTACAAGTCTAAAACATTCATCTACGTAGAGACTGACGCTACTAGTTTGTTGAGTTCGAATGGAAACTTTTTAACACGAAAGCGTTTTATGCCTGCCGGGGTCTACCTCGGCTATACTTACGCGCCTCCGTCGAGAATATTACGTTGAAAAATAAATCCTAAAAGGCTGGAAAGAAAAAAAACGAGCATAAAAACTTTTTTGCGGGGCGTCAGACCATTCCATCAACAGCGCGCTCTGCTATACCCTACGCCACGAAGTATACGTTGTCGAGGATGCTAACGGCAACGATCTACATACACCATGTAGTGTTGACGGCCCTCAGAGCTCACTCCCTTCAGCGAGAGTCATCATGAGTTGGGAGATGGCGCGACAAGCATTCATTGGGCGCACTCTCTCAACAGGTCGTCACCTCGCGCCAAACCGCGCGTTGCTATGCGTGCTCTTCAACATGGCGTGGTCAAAGTGCGTATGTGTGCTATCTGACGTGGTGGCTTGAATCTCAAGATTCGGGCGCTTTGTACCCTTGGGCTTTCACCGCATGGTTGCTTTGAAATTACAGTGATTAAACAAGGCACGAAACACTGCCGCGGCAGCCTTTAAGAAAGGACCACGCTGCTCATACACAAATTAAAAGCCTCACCACACGCAACCGTTGAAGCGCGTCAGCGTGTGGCCTTTTGACACGGCGCCGCGCCTTCTCTCCAGGGTGAGAAAAATCACGCAGCTACGTGATGCTTCTTGCCCTTTCTCTCTGTAGAAAGAGACTGTGGCGCTGGGTCCAGGAAGTCACGCGCTGAAGAGCTTCAATGGCTGCGTGTGGTCAGGCCTTAAATTTTTAGTCACAGTTTGCGCTCATCTTGTGTACACTTGTGCATTCGTTTTGCACGTGCTTTCTGCTTCAGGTGCGCGCGGCAAGTTTCGGGCTGCTTCGCGTTCTTCGCAATACACTGCGATTTGTTTCTGTAGTTTTCAGTGCTTCACCCTTGTGGCGAAACAATGCACAATGACTGGTAAACTACCTCTGTGAAGACACCGTTCAGTTTCGTGTTAAAGCTATTCCTAAAAAAGGGGGATGAGCCGCGTTTTTTTTTCTCCTTAGCTGGGTGTCGTACTATGATAAAAAGCCACAGCGTCATAAGCCAGCACATACAACAGGGAGGATACACGTGAAGAAATATTGTAACATAAAAATTAGCATCGACTAGCGAAACATGTTTGAAAGACCACTTGGTAACTTAATGAAGAAGGCTTCCATAAGCATCAAAAAGCGATGCTCACCATGAAGGTAGGTCACGAGTATACAATGCAGCCAAGGCTATCTTATTTGATTATATTACTCATATTTTACTATAAGAATCAGGGAGAGTATCAGCTTCTCCGTTTTTTTTCAATTGTCGATGCACTTAGTGACGTTTTCTTTTTGTTCCGTCATGACACGGCAGCGCCATGCAATTACAACGTGACGGCATGCAGAAAAGAACAACCGCACTTGCGTTAGCGAGGTGATATTCTTTATAATCTTGCTATTTGATATGTTACCTGAAAAATAGAGGCCACGCGTAGTGCGTAAAGCAAGGGCACCACCGCTGTGACTGTCAGTGTCGACGCAACCAGGGTGCCAGCCACAACCCAGATGGAGTGAAATCCGTGAGCGTAGTAGTGGCCCACAAAGCTCACCACGTTCACACCATTCGCCACCGATGCCACAACGGACATGGCCAAGGCGATGGCGGGAAGTGTTTGACCACCCAGAAATGTCTCGATTTCAGCGTCTTTTCCATTGCCAACCCTGGACGTTTTCTGTAAGGGCAGATTTTTGTGAATCATGCAGTCATAACTACAAACTGCGCTTTAAATCTAACATTTTTATTGGGATGGCAATTATATGGACACTCTCGGCTGGATTTTGCCGCTGACGTCAGCGTCGAAGTTATGCTCCGTATACGTATACGTAGCTATATATATGAAAAAGCAAGAAAGAAAAAAATCCAGAAAAAAAGACTCCGGCATGCGAAATCGAACGTCGGTCCTCCGCGTCATGAATGCGAGACGTTACCACTGAGCCATCGTGGCGCAATTTCGTGGTCGTTTAGACGGCAAACTATTTATATCTACCACTTACCGCTGTCAGCGGACGTCTCGGGGGGTAACTATCGTGTTTTCAGCATTAACAGCAAGATGGCGCAGTGAGAACGTGGTGGCTGCGGTGGCTCTCATCTTTCAAGCGTACTTGGGCCCGCGTAGTGAGTAAGGGGGTGTTTATCCAAGCGCATAATTTTTAAAAACACCCATTTTTTGGCCAATCCCACATATGGGGTATGCGCCACAATCAATAGGTGAACAACAACAATAATCAAGCGCAGCATCAGGTCAAACCGAAAAAGAGGAAGCGCCTCCTTCCACGAGCAAGTCAGTGCTCACGAGCATTGCAGCCAGGAATCGACAAAAAACAGCTGAAAATAAATGACGTTCGTGATGTTCAAGCCTAACTTCTTGCCAGTGACCCGTATGCTAGTTCAAACAGTTTGGTGACGAAGATCTGAGAACTGCTACGAGGGACCACGGAAGACTACGGGAGGCTACGAGTGAACTGAACGGTATGGAGAGGCTGAAACCGAAGCGGACGTCGAGACCATCTCTGACCACCAGGATTACCAACGATGCAAGAGCTCTTCTCGGCGATGCGACAGCCACCATCGATCAGCTACGGACGTTTGAAGGCAAACAACGATGAGCTGAACCAAATCAACAGGAAGTTAGAGAGCCACATACCAGATGAAGAGTTTGAGGAAGAGTACGACACCATCCTTGAATACGAAGACAACGCTAACACCGTCATGAGTGAGCTTCTTATCAAGCGCGACGTTATTGGTGCGGCCACGTCATCTGCACCAGAGCTTCAGACTTCATCCGTAGCGAGTACCGCTGGAGCCTCTGGTGCCAAGCTTTCCAAGCTTACCATCGCCCCATTTGCTGGTGACTTGTGCCAGTGGAACGACTTTTGGGAGCAATTTGACCAGATTATTCAACGGAACGGAAACCTCACGGGAATGGACAAGTTCAACTACCTGAGGTTCTCCTTAAGGGGTGACGCTGCTTCAGATATTGTGGGCCGGCCAACCACAGAAGCTTACTACAAGCACGCCATCGACATACTCAAGAAACGCTTTGGCGACAGAACAACACTCGAACAGGAGTACTTCTCCAGGCTTTTTACATTGCCTTCAGTCCGTTCAAGTGATCCGACAGCTCTTCGCAAGCTGTACGACCAGGTCATCATCAACATCAGAGGACTGGAAACCCTTGGGGTGAGCAAGACGTTCTTTTCGGCAATGGTGTGCGACATATTGCTGCGGGCTTTACCAGATGATCTCGTTGTACAGTACCATCGGTCATGCACCAACTGGGTGGTGAGATACAGCAGTAATGAATCCTCTAACACAGAGTTGGAACGCCAATTAGGTATCGAAGTGGAGAGCTTAGAGAAGAGTGAATTCGCTAACCATCGTGGAAAAGACAGTCGTAATAAGAATGCGCAGAAAAAATCGCCAGTCTCGTAGCTCAAAACCCACGCCCTGAGTTCTCCATAACAACCAAAGAAGGTACCTCTAAACTGTGTGTTTTGCAAATCGAGCCAACATTCCACGGACGAGTGCTCGTTGGATCTCCCGCTACCAGAAAAAAGCGCATTCTATCGGGTGACTTGGGGTGTTTTAGATGCACTAAGAAAGGTCACAGGGAGTGTGATTGCAGGCGCAAGATTACGTGCTATACCTGTCAAGGGTGTCATGCCACAAGCGTGTGTGATCCGCAGAAATTAAGCCAGAAGACACGAGAAACCGGCAGGACAAATACTAGAATACCGGCAAGTAAGACAAGCACCAACACGACTGTGTGTGCATCTCTAGGGAAAAATCAACATACCCTCGAGAGTTTATCGACGAGCGTACTTCTTCAGACGTTTTGGGCTTGGTCCGTAACAGATGTTACATGTCGGTATGTCAGAGGTATCATAGTATGAGGAAGTCAGTTCACATTCGTCAAAAAGAGGCTATCAGAGCAGCTGAAGTTGCCATGTGTGGGATCCCCCATCATTGCGCTCAACACTTTCGCAAGCAAGTCAAGTCGAGCAGCGCAAAGGCGACGTGTTGTGCAGCTTCGATTGAAGAGTCAGTTTTGGCACACTGAAGTTACCTTGAAAGCAATAGAAATTCCGCACATATTCCAAGGTATCGAAGCAAGTACCACAAGTTGACCATTCTTCGCGGAAATAGAGAGAGCTGACATCGCTGATCAACTACTATACGGATCCGTTGTCGGGGAAGAAGGCATCAGTGTTCTCATCGGTTCCAACCAAATGTGGACGGTGAGGACAGGGGAGGTCACTCGATGCGCAGGCAATGACACGCTTATTTCTATGAACTGGAAGCTGGAGTGGATGTTTCAAGGAAACACCAGCGGGGCATCGGACGTTACACACTCACGAATTATGGTCTGCATATTGAAAACCAGTGTACAAGAGAGCGACGAATCCATTTGTTCGTATTGGGAACTCGAGAGCGTAGAAATAACAGACTCCGTCGACAGTGAGAGCAAGATCAGTCTAGCACTCCAGCAATTTGAACAGATCGTCTGCCTTAAGAGCGGAAGATACGAGGTGACGCTGCCCTGGAAGGAAGACGTGGAGCTCTCGGACAACAAGCAAGTGGCTATGACAAGACTTTAGAAACTTCTCTCCCGACTCACGAATAAGCAAGGACTCTTGGAGACGTATGACACAACCATACGGGAGTACCTACGAGTGGGACTTGCAGAGGTTGTTGACGGGCCACCCCTGAATTCGTCAAAAGTTTGTCATATGCCGCATAGAGAAGTGATTCAAGAGCACACTCACCACAAAGGTCCCGATTGTTTTCGACGCTCTCTCTCACGCAAAAGGGTGCTTTTCATTGAATGAATGCCTGGAAAAGGGTGAAAACCTGCACCAGGATCTCATTAAAGTATTATTGTGTTTCAGAATGCACCGTATAGCTCTTCTTGCCGACATTGAAAAGGCATTCCTTGAAATTTCAATCACCGAGAAAGACAGAGATGCCTTTAGGTTCCTCTGGTTTCGAGAGGAGGAAGCACTGCATTTCTCAGAGGAGAACATTCCAGAGTGGAGAAGGACGAGAGTGCCATTCGGTGCGACGTGTAGCCCCTACCTACTGACGGCAACTATACTCTGCCAAACGAGGAACGTGCATTCAAGCAAACCAGAACCACAAGACTTCTAAAGGAATCATTCTACGTGGACGATCTAGTGGCTGGAGCGGAGTCAGATGAAGAACCACTTCAAATCTGCAGGTAAGCTAAGGAGATTATGCAGGAAGCAGGAATGACACTGGGGAAATCGACGAATAGCTCGGATGGATTGATTATCGTATTAGAGCACGAGGAACAGACCACAGCCAAGCAACTGGCTATCCTCCTTGAGACAAGTGCGAAAGTACTTGGAATTACATGGAATACACAAACGGATAATTTCAAATTTTATTTGAGGGGTCTTCTCAAGTTTATGAAAGAAAAACGTGATACCAAGCGGTTCGTTGTTCAAACTGCTTCCAGAGTATTTGACCCCATGGGATTTGTGGCGCCATTCACGATTGCTATAAGGATCGTCTTCCAGATGGTATGGACAAGTGGAATATCACGGGATGAGCAGCTACCTCCGGATCTTCAAGAGGAGGCGTGAATGGGTGCATCAACAACCGCTTTTTTAAATTGTTTTCATGCCGCGTTATCTTCACAGTGGAGCCAAATCACCCAGAGAGCTACAGGTGCACGTATTTTGCTACGCAAGCCCTTCGGCATACGCTGCAGCGCTTTACGTCGTACTGAGCTGTTCAGCGTAGCTCAAATCGCTGATCGCAAAAACCCGCGTAGCACCTATCAAGAAAATGACACTACCACGACTAGAGCTTCTAGGAGCCTTGATTGGAGCAAGGCTACTTTGCTATGTGTCAAGCGCACTCACGGGCTTCGAGATCTACTGTACGCTCTGGCCGGATGCCACAATCACACTTTCGTGGATAAAAGGTGACATGACGACATAGAAGCAGTTTGTGTCGAACAGAGTGAAAGAGATCAGGGAAAAAACAGATCCTTCTATGTGGAGGTATTGCCCTGGTCATGTGAATTCAGCCGACCTGCTCACACGTGAAGTTTGTATGGATAAGTTATTATCCACTAACATCGGGCGACATGGACCAGACTGCCTATGCGAATCAGAAGAACGATGGCCTCAACCACCGTCAGAAACTATCAGCACCGACGTCAGGATTTCTTCTGAAATGATTGCCATGCACATTGCGATATCCAGTAATACAACTTCAGTGCCAGTCCTGGACATAAACAGTTACAGCAAAATTGAAAGGGTACTCAGGGTCACCGCCTAGGTATTCAGATTCATTGAACGCTGCCAAATGAGAATCGCAGCGTCCACTGGATTTCTAGTAGGCGAAGAGATTGCTGAAGCTGAAAATAATTGTATCAGGCATGTGCAGCAACAATCCTTCAGATAAAAAATAAGCTGGATTCGGAAAGGCACAAGTGCCAAACAGGATACTATAATCAAAGACCTCAACCCGTTCTTGGATGACAACAGTCTCCTTCGGGTCGGTGGGCGCTTGTTACACCTTGAAGCATCTGAAGAGGTAAAACACCCAGTCATCCTCCCGCACGATCATCGCTTTTTCACATTATTGACACTACGAGCACACTTCGAAACTTTACATGGAGTCGTGAGAGACACTTTGTCACAGTTAAGAGAGCAATAATGGATTTACCGGGCACAAACACCGGTGAAGAAAGTAATACACGGATGCTAACGGGCAGACGCTTCAGTATAAGCCCAGGCGACGCTCCAACGTCTCATATAGCACGCCATTGTTTGGCAACGACGAACCCATTCGAATTCATTGAAGTTGACATTGCAGGACCGCTCTTTGTTGTGACAACAGCCGGCGCCACAGAGAGCTAATGCTGAATAGCACTTCTCGTATGTGCTACATGCAGAGCAGTACACCTGGAACTGCTTTCGAGCCTGACCTCAGAAGCCTTCCTCATGTGTTTTCGACGCTTTGTAGCACGATAGGGGTCTCTATCACGTAATATATTCAGACAATGCAAGAACGTTCAAGAAGATGTCAAGAGACTTGGAGAAGCTCTGTCGGATGGTTTCCCAAGAGAACGTATCAGCATACTTAGGTCACAGGAGGATCACCTGGAAGTTTATTCTTCCCAACGCTCCATGGTGGGGCGGATGGTGGGAGCGTCTGGTCCAAACTATGAAGCTTTCACTGAAAAAGGTTCTCGGCAAAGCTCGACGCAACTTTGATCAGCTGACTACTGTGCAATCGCCAGTGGAGGCGGTTGTGAACTTGAGGCCTCTCACTTACATCGAGTCTGACAGTGGGGAACCTCGTGCGTTAACCACAGCAGACCTCATTATTGGAAGGAAACTTACAGTGCTACCACAGGGCGGCAATGACACGCCAATGAACCTGACGCGCCCGGAAGCTTTACGACGGCATGCATACAGAAAATGGCTAAGTGAAAACTTTTGGAACCGGTGGACAAAAGAATATCTGCTTCAACTTCAATCAGCGCAGTTTTCGACGCGTTCTAGACCCACCAAAGAAGTTAAAGCGGGAGACATCGCCATAGTCGATGAAGAAAAATTACCCCGACAAATGTGGAAACTTGCAAGGGTACTGGAAGTCTACAGAGGAGCTGATGACCATGCCTGTTCGTTCAAGATCCAACAACAGTGAGGGGTTGTTACCACACGGCGATACAAACAAAAATTATTCGCCCGAGCTTAACTACTGACTTGGCGGCCGGGAATATGTTTAATCAAGCGCAGTGCCAGGTCGAGCCGAAAAAGAAGTGCATCCTTCCGTGAGCAAGTCCGTGCTCACGGGTACTTGCAGCCAGGAATCGAAAAAACAGCTGAAAATAATTGCCGTTCGTATTGTTTAAGCCTCACTTCTTGTCAGTGAACCGTATACGACATTTTAAACAGGGCTGTACGCTCGATCACGTGCCCTTATCTTGCAGTGGGAAAACTCGCACGTACCCAGTGCACAAAGGTCACTGCAAGCGTTGCACATCATCCGTTTGCAAAAATGGCGTACTTTTCAGACAGGGCGAAGAAACAACTGCGACGCTTATTTGCGTTCATCTGTACCTGTGAGTACGTTGCGTGCGTCATTTGTGTGTGAAAAACGCGGGGCATGTTTCGATTGGCTTGACATCCTGCGCTTGACCTTCCAACTTGTTGCTATCGCGTTCATTGCGTCGCCTTTAAGGCAAAGCTGAACTTTCCTTATTTTTCTATTAGACGCCATACGTGCACAGCACGACAGTACGCGCTATTTGTTGGATTGTGTTTAGGTGGAACATGTGGCACGCGCCGCTCATAATAACGTATCAAACAGCCTTCGAAAAGTGATTTGCAGTGCGTTATACTTTGGTTCATGTAGCATACAATTTTAGGGGCGAGGCTCCTTATAGTGGCACCCGTACGTCCGCCGTAGTCGTAGTAGTACTTTGTAACCAGTCTTACATTTTGACCTCCAAGGTGGTGCTAGTGGGAGATTTCTTTTGTGCGTTGGTGAACAATAAAAAATTCGCAGCGTGCGCGTTAACTAAAAGCCGATTTCTCCTGTCTCTCATTTCGCCTTAGCAGCCATTGGCATGTACATTGAGCACAATCTCACAAGAAAGGGTTTATTACGTTATACCCGCTGTGCGTAACCTACTTGGTTTTAGAAAGGTTTAGCGAGCGTTGGGCCACAGTGCCATGAATTCAGTTAACTAGTGTATACCATGAACTCGAGGTGGTTAAAGGTGGGAAGTAGACACGAAGCGCAAGCCGTAAGAAAGTGTGCATGTGCCTCCTCTCGTTTATTCCTTGGAATGTCTGGCTGGATGGCGGCGCTTCTATATGAGGAATATATGATGAAAAGATGCGAGATGGTGGTACTTGAAGTGTTGCATACGTGGACGAACGGACACACAGACAGATGCATTGACGGACGCACGGATGGCTGCACGGAAGAGTGAACGCATGGACGGACGCAGGAGCGGATGCATGCACGAATGCCGGGATGGATGCCCAGATGCACATGCGCACGCACAAACAGACGCACGCACGGACGGGCGGATGAACGCACAGGCTGTCACACAGACACACGCATGGATGGACGGATGCTTCGCCCCATTCTCCATCATTCACTCCGTGGATATGCTGCCTTTTTTTTCTGTAACATACGAGCCAGTGAAGCTAGCATGAAGTTTACGCATATCTTTTCTAGTTTCTAGGCATGGATCGGCGGATGCATATTTTCTGGGGATAACTGTCGCCGACAGAAAATAGCACAGGATGACTAAAAACAAGCCTATAGTGCTTTACGACACTGTAAATTTTCAGGCCATTTCAAACGACACTGTTCGGCGCTTTGCCTTTGACGGTTTGTCTACCTCATGCATTCCTGAGTAATTGCGTGCCTCCTTGAATAACATTATGATTAGCAGTGCACTTTAATGAAAATGGATGCACTAAATCTTTTACTCGTAAGTTGAGTGAAATGCGTATTGCATATTCCTAATTCTCACCTGATGCCGTCGTCTTGCGAAGGAAAAGTACAAGCCCACCAGGTAGCCAACCACTGTCAACACACCGAACACAACGCAGTCGTAGATATCCAGGTCTTTTGTCGGGTGCATCCTCGCTGTAGTGGCTGGGAAGAGAATGTGTGGCTGCTAGTTCTCTGCGGAAGTGACGTGTACGCCGATATAGACGCCATGATTGCAGCTGCTCTTGGCCGAACAGCTTTCACAGCTGTAGTTTCTGGTGTCAATAAACTAGCCTTTGATACTGGCATACACAGCCTCCACTGCCACTGTAGGCACCTTTTGCATATATTCAACCTTCTGGTTTATCGTTTCGACACTCTTGGCAGCCCACGTCACATGATGACTGTTCCGGCTCTTGATCAGGGGTGTCTCTAACACTGTAATGTTCACTGAGTTACGTTGTCTGCGCAATGTTTGACACCTTAAAGAAGCCCATTACACTTGTAAACCATCACTGACATTTATTATCATATTTTGCAGTACCGTCATAAAGCTCACATAAAATTTATTTCATCAATGTACTCTGTTATGTAATCATATTATTACCAGGTACAATTAAAATGATATTACACTCTTTTCTTGCTGCAAACGCGAACTACATAGCTAAAACAATAAATAAATTTCGCATAAGAAGCGCCAAAGCCACGATACAATTATGAGGCACGCCTCAGTGACGGGCTGAGGAATTATCGGCCACCTGGCCTTCTTTCATGCGCACTGATGTTGCGCAGACTACACGAGTTTGTACGACGTTGTTTCCGCCGAAATGTGACAACCACGGTCGGAATCGAACCTGTGACATTCGTGTCAACACCCGAGTACCGGAACCATTTGAGCCACCATGGTAGACTTCCATGGCTAGAAAGCAAGAAAACTTGGAGGACGCCTGGACTTTTCCGTCGTGAGTAGAACGCGATTGCATTGTCGAGCATGTGCGCATTGGCTTCAACCATGCCGCTGTCCAGAACATTTGGGCACGTGAATTGGCCGTTTAAAAACTATCCTAGAATGTCGAGTGTAAGTTATGTCACAAAGTGCCCACTACGCCGTAACTCTTCCTTTGGCGCCAAACTTCCCAACCATTTCGGCAGCTATCTCACATGTATTCGAAAAAAAAAGTGTTGATTTACTGCATTCAAAACAGTGAAACAGTAGAATATTTCCGAGAAAAAAAATTTTGGTCACGTGGCTGGCTGCCTTCTGGACTTCCTGGAATGTCACTTGGGTGTTGTTTGTAGAACAATTTATTTTAAAAGTACCGCTTCTCTCTACACAAAATTAGGTCTACATGTTAAGTAAATGTGCCTGTGTAAGGTGTTTGAAGATGTTGCAATACTGTACCTTGTATGAATATCTGAGTAGCGAATACTTAATCCACAGAAGGTAATTTAGCAAAACTGTCAATTTTGTCTACATTGTGACTTCATTTGTACCTTGTGCTGGTTCAAATAAAAAACAGCTTTATACGTAAATCAAAAGCGAATAAGCAGTTCTTTTTATGTGGGAAATTTTACTAATACATTTGTTCTAAGAAAGAAAATAATTTTAAAAATTTCTTTTGGCACCTATCTTCCCATTTGGTCATACGACAGCTGCCGCCTTCAAATTTCCTATAGCCGTCAATGGAACAGTTCAAAAATTCTTTTCTTCGTTAAAAAAATGTGATTATAAGGTTTGCCATATGAAAATAAATGCTTAGTTGCTTTCAATCTCAGTAAAACGGTGATTTTTAATTCGGACACTACATGGTGAAAAGTGCGTCTCAATATGGACAAAAAATGACAATTTCGAGTAATTTGTGATTTTTTTCTCGTAAAGTTTAGCAGCTTAAGAAGTCCAAAACATTTTTCTCAAAATACACATTTTGTGGAGTAAGTATTTTTTATTCAGATATTCACACCACGTTCAGTATTGCAATAGAAATGTGCAAAATAACACATTTTGACTAAACTATTGGAGGCATATGTGCTGGTAAAATTGCACTAATATTAGTAAGCATCGAACATTTAACACAAGCACCTTTACTTAACATCTAGACCAAATTTGGGATAGAAAGAAGGACTGGTACTTTTCAAATAAGCTTTTCCACAAAGAACACCCAAACGGCATTACGAGAAGTTCATAAAGCAACCACGTGACGAAATGTTTTTTTTTTTCTCGAAGAAAATATTTGACTGTTTCGCTGTTTTCCATACAGTGAATCAGTCCAGTTTTTTTTTTTCATATACATTTGAGATGGTCGCCAAAATGGCCGGGTCGTTTGGCATGGAATGACACTTTTTCAATTTGACGAAACACCCACTACACAGTAAGTATCATCAGGTGTCACGCACAACTGTGCAGCTTTGTACTTTGTCACGGGTGTGCAGCTTTGAACGAACCCATGGTTGTCTTTTGGTGCATATGAAAAGTAGCGAGAACAAAATCTACATGTAGCGAAAGTAGCCACGCCACTCAATTATATCGCCGGTTTGCTTGCCAAATTAAACAGATGCGGTAATACAAGTATATTTTTCATCATTGAATATGAATAGGTTAAATATTTATATTTCAAGTAAGGAATATCCAAACATTAGGAATGCCGTTTCTTAGTGTGCCTTTGTCTTAAACACACAAGTAAGTCACCAATAAATGAATATATTACAATAAATTGGGTCCACCTAGTCTAGAGTGGTTTTGAACACTACAACCAACAAAAGTAAGCGCTGTAAAAGTTGAAGCTGTTTTGGCTGGAAGCCATATAACAAATTTGAATAGTCCAGCTTTCTATGGGGCCCCGCCGCGGTGGTCTAGTGGCTAAAGTACTCGGCTGCTGACCCGCAGGTCGCGGGATCAAATCCCGGCTGCGGTGGCTGCATTTCCTATGGAGGCGGAAATGTTGTAGGCCCATGTGCTCAGATTTGGGTGCACGTTAAAGAACCCCAGGTGGTCGAAGTTTCCGGAGCCCTCCACTACGGCGTCTCTCATATTCAAATGGTGGTTTTGGGACGTTGAACACCACAAATCAATCAATTAATCAATCAGCTTTCGATCGAGGCAGAAATGGTGTAGGCCCGGGTGCTCAGATTTGGGTGCATGCACGTTAAAGAACCCCAGGTGGTCGAAATTTCCGGAGCCCTCCACTACGGCGTCTCTCATAATCTTATGGTGGTTTCGGGACGTTAAACCCCCCATATCAACCAATAGTCCAGCTTTATTGACCAAGTGACTTCAGGTCGCAGTCCCCTCGTTGTAGGGGAACGTGCGATTTAGAGCACGTGCTTTGGCGGTATCCTTCGTTACGTGCGTGTAAGGACCTCATCGAGCAAAAATGGAGCTCTGCTCACAAGAGCACGGAATATCAGCTTCGAAATTGAGGCTGTCCAAAGAGCCTGCTAATCGGCGGTTGGGCAAGGTCTAACTGTCCCTATGTGAGAGCCGCCCACGGTGTCACCCTAAGAGGTGGCACTTCTCCAGATCTCTAAATAGAGTTCTTCGTATACCGTACGGAGCTCTTCAGACTTGTGGTTGCGCCGGGTAGAGTGACTAGGACTTGTCATCTACAATCGATGCGTAGTATTTTCGTATTCAACTTACGCCTCGATCCCGCAACGCCATGTGCCGATTGGCCAGACATGGAATACAATGACAAAGATTGGCTAGCCTACTGCGAGACCAAAGATCGCATAACGTCACGTAAAAGCTCGTTACGAGGTTGAAAATCAAGTAACATCACGTAACACGTCTCGAGAATGAAACTACGTCACATAACGTCACAACAAGTCACCAGACTCGAATCGCATAACATCACTTAACGACTAGCAACGTCACTAAAAGTAGCAGTACATCCTGTAAGGTCTACTCACCTTACTGAAACCACGTAAGATGTAGTTTTGTGACATGACCCGGCACAAGCATATTGTTACGTGATTTCGTCTGACTGAAAGAGGGCATAGTGGGGCATACCCAAGTAAGGTGCCTCACACTGAAAGTCAAGAAGTGGACGTTGTCGGTGAGCTGCGTTGTGGCTGTGGACTGACAACTGTTATTTTCCACGTAACATTTTGGTGGAGGTGCTGGGTACTCTTCTGACAACGGAGATACCCAGTGGACGCCTCCGTAAGTCTACTACCATGGCTCCGGGTGAGGATACAACTTCGCCACCTACCTCAGCAACGACAGCGACCCGGTACGTCGCCCTAACGCAACCCCGTGATCCCGGTACCTTTACTGGAGAGGACAACGCGAATGTGGACATGTGGCTTAGCAAGTACGAGCGCGTCAACAAGCAATATGGCTGGGACCCAACCGTTATGCTTGCGAATGTCATTTTCTATCTTGACAAGACCCCTCGCATCTGGTTTGAGACCCACGAGCACAAAATCACAAGCTGGGAAATGTTTAAACAACAGCTCCGCGACATTTTTGGCAACCCGTTTGGTCAACAACTTGATGCCCGAAAGCAATTGGCTGTACGTACACAGACATCCACTGAGCCCTACTTGACTTATATTCAAGACGTCTTAGCGTTGTGTCAAAGGGCCGATCCCAACATGACTGAGGCCGACAAGATTTCGCACGTTTTAAAAGGAATCGCCGACGTTACGTTCAGCCTGCTTGTATTTACCAACGTAACGACCATTGACGCCGTTATCAAAGAGTGCCGCCGTCTCGAGCAGGCCAAGAGTCGACGCATTTCGCAGCAGTTTCAGCGCCTACACAATACCGCGGCAACGTCGTCTTGCGAAGCCACCCCTTGTCATCCGTCTACAACCGAAGACGTGACGCGCATCGTACGACGTGAACTCGAGGCCGCTTACCCGGCTGTTAACAAACCGACGTTGCCCGACGCCTCAACGCCAGCTGTCGCCTTGATCCATGCTGTTGTCCGCCAGGAATTCGCTAACCTTGGTATCCTATCCACTGCACCCACACTGCATAATACTGGTCCCTCGATAGCTTCTGTGGACATGAGACATCGCCGTCCGTACTCTATTCAAACCAGGAACCCGTCTGAATGGCGAAAAGCTGATGATAAGCCAATCTGCTTCCACTGTGGTCGCGCAAAACACATCGCTCACTACTGCCGCAGCCAATGGCCATCTATGTCT